CCAGCTCCTTCTCCTCCAGCTTCTGCACCACCTGCAGCTGCGCCTCCACCTGCCAATCAGCGCTAATTAGACTAATTAGGGCCTCATTAGTCATTCAGTCATTATTCGGAGAAATTAGGGAGTTATTAGGGAATTATTAGGGAATTATTAGGGTTAATAAGGGATTTGGGAGCCCCTGCTCCTTCTCCTGCAGCTTCTGCACCACCTGCAGCTGCGCCTCCACCTGACAATTAGCACTAATTAGACTCATTAGGACTTTATTAACCATTATTAGACCATTGTTTGCAGAAATTAGAGAGTTATTAGGGAATTATTAGGGAATTATTAGGGCTAATAAGGGATTTGGGAGCCCCAGCTCCTCCTCCTGCAGCTTCTGCACCACCTGCAGCTGCGCCTCCACCTGGTAATTAGCGCTAATTAGACTAATTAGGGCTTCATAAGCCAGTATTCCATTAATTGCTATTAATGGCTATTCAACCTCTATTAATCACTATTAAATGACCATTAAGGGCTATTAAACCTCTATTAATCGCTATTAAATGACTATTAACGGCTATTAAAACTTAATTAGCGACTATTAATAGCTATTCAACCTCTATTAATGTGTATTAAATGGCTAGTAACGGTTATTCAACCTCTATTAATTGCTATTAAATAACTATTAATGGCTATTAAACCTCTATTAATTGCTATTAAATAACTATTAATGGCTATCAAGCCTTAATTAATGACTATTACTGCTTAATAAGCATCTACTAATGGCTATTAAACCTCTATTGATCACTAATAAATGATTATTAGTGGTTATTAAAACTTAATTAGCGACTTTTGCTGCTTAATAAACATCTATTAATTGCCATTAATTGCTATTAATGGCTATTCAACCTCTATTAATGGCTACTAAATAACTGCTAATGTCTATTAAACCCTAATTAGTGATTATTAAACGACTATTAATGGCTATTAAAAATCTATTAATTGCTATTAAATGACTACTAATGGCTATTAAACCTGTATTGCTATTAAATGGCTATTAACGGCTATTAAACCTCTATTAATTGCTATTAAAAAACTATTAATGGCTATCAAGCATTAATTAGTGACTATTAACGGTTATTAAACACATATTAATTGCCATTAGTTGCTATTAATGGCTATTCAACCTCTATTAATCGCTATTAAATGACTATTAATGGCTATTACACCTTAATTAGTGACTATTAATGGCTATTAAAGAGATATTAATCGCTATTAAATGACTATTAACGGCTATTAAACCCTAATTAGTGACAAATAAATGACTATTAATGCTATTAATCTGCTATTAGGGGTCAATCGGGCCTCTCACCTGGGCCTTGAGGGCCAGGACCTGCTCGGCCAGCTCGTCCTTCTCCTCGCGGAGGAGCTTGTGGATCTGGTTGGCCTTGATTCGCTCCGACATCAGCTTGAAGTTGGCGTCGTCCTTCTCGCGCAGCTGCTGCAGCAGCCGCAGGTTCTGCTCCTGCATGTCCTCGAAGGCCTGGCCCGTCACGTCCATCTCCGACAGCAGCGCCTCCTCCTCCTGACAGGCGGGGTCACAACCAGGGCAAGATGGCCGCCAGGAGGGGGTGGGGTCACAACCAGGGCAATATGGCCGCCGGGAGGGGGGTGGAGTCACATAGGGCAATATGGCTGCCGGCAGGGGGGCGGGGTCACAACCAGGGCAATATGGCCGCCGGGAGGGGGTGGGGTCACACACAGGGCAATATGGCCGCTGGGAGGGGGCGGGGTCACACACAGGGTAATATGGCCGCTGGGAGGGGGTGGGGTCACACACAGGGCAATATGGCTGCCAGGAGGGGGTGGGGTCACAACCAGGGCAATATGGCCGCCGGGAGGGGGCGGGGTCACACACAGGGCAATATGGCCGCTGGGAGGGGGTGGGGTCACAGGCAGGGCAATATCAGCGCTGGGAGGGGGT